TAGGATGGTGTCAGATCTAATCAAATTGTTCGCTGCAGCATAGTTAACTATGGGGTTCACTAATTGGCCCAATTGCGGATTATACCTTTTGCTACAGATTCAAGACAATAATTTAGTTAAATGATGTTTTTTTTTCCTTATCTCTTCTAATTAAGATTCCAATGTGGGAAGAAATAGGATTAGACAGTCTCAAAATTGTGTTCCCCTTAAGGTGGTATGCACTTTTGATAGGCTCACTATGACATGTGAAATATGTAAGAGTACAGTATTACCAACTGCTGGAGAGTCAGTGAAACCTCTATGACCCTACTGTATGTCTACCTTATTTGGGAATTAAAATGTAAATATGGGGATGGTAATATAATGAATATATTTAGATGTAAACACATATAAAATGACATTTCCATTGTTAAAGAATGCTAATTTGAATTTACTTTTGACAAATGGTTTGATCTATATGAACAGATACCTACGTTCCACTTTGATTTCCTTTTGCTAACTGCAATACATTTGGGAATTGAATATTTCAATATTTGTGGAGGACAACAGGATCAGAAGAGATACATTAGTGGACTATATGGTCTATCATGCTACAACTTTAATGCTCTTGAGTCAGACATTTAGGTTTCCATTATTTTATTTTAGTGACATAATTTTTCATTGACAAATACGTTAATCAACCCTCCCCTCTACCTCTAAGTTTAGTAAACAGCCACCTTTCTACTTCTCGCTTAAAACTGGAAAATGCTATTGATACAAAATGTAGGGAAGTAAGGAAACCTAGGACCAAAGATATCATGCAACTCTACATTGTCCAACATTGTCATAGTGACTGCAAGAGTTTATGCTTTTCCAATATGTAAGAATTTCAAATAATTCTACTGAATCCTATCAAGTATACTGCAGTACAATATAAAGCTAATTTATACTGATGGCATGTAATATTTTGGTCTTAATACTTAAGAATGAATTTTCGAAGTAAGTACACAATTAATAGTTGTTACTCAGTAAATATTGGTTTATCAATTCTGTGAGAAAAAGTTCTTGATGACTGGAGAGGTACCAGAGTCCTGTATTCTGATTTAGGGGCAAAGTATTAAAGACAATCTTGAGTAAACTCAATTTACTTTCATTTTCTTAACTCTTAATATTCATTTAGTGTGCAAGACCCACATAAATATGATAGTTTATGGTTTTTTTTGTGATAATTACTGTTTTGGGTCCAATTAAAGCTTATGTAAGTACTGTTGATCACTATTTTGAAAATTTGCTGTTATGATACCATCAAACTAAATGAAGTCACATTTCAAATCCTACCAAAATCTTACTCGTTTAGGTATTACAATTACATCATAATTACTAATATAAAGAAAAATATTGGTTAATGATGATCCTAACATTAGAGAAGCAAACATTATAGAAATTGAAAAATAATACATGTCTCAAGTAGTTATTTCATCTTAGAAGTGAAGCTACGTATGTAAGTTAAATTTCTTATGGAACTTAATGGAGAAGCTCCAGTGGAGGTTATATAATATTTATAGCTGCATTATTTGGACAATTTTTCAAACTTCATAATTTATCTATATACATATATTTCAGCAAAGATTTTATACCTGCTAAGTGTATGACTGTTCTTAGATTTGGGATAGATATGAAGATTTAAAAAGATACAATTTTCATGTATTGAGTCTATTATTATATCTTCGTAAAGTCTTTTGGTATAAAATATTCAATTATTATATAGAAAGTATAAATAAGCCAGTAGTGGGCCTGGTACACAATAAAGAGTTATTAATCTTGCTACGATTGATAAAAGGTTATGTGGTAAGGCCAAGGAATAAGTAGCATATCGTGGTTAATCAAATATGCTAGTATGATTTAGAAGGATTACAAAATTTCAAAACTATTTTTTTCCTAACCTGAAGCCAGACTGAATCAGCCTTAAATTTTCTTTTACTTATCCAGAATGCATGCCAGAATTTTAGATTATTACTATAGATATGATTCTGGTATGGTTTTTGTAAGGGGCTAATTTAAAGAGCTTTATGGCTGATGAATACTTGGTATTAGTGAAAATTTACTGTGATTAGATAAATGCTTCCACTTGAATCTGAATAATACCAATACACATTCCAAGAAGAAAGAAATATTCTTTTGCTTTTTCCAGATCACTCAAATTAAAGATTGCTGGTTAAAGCTGCTCTATTTGTTAGAGGCCCTTGGTAGCTGTTAATTAAAAAAAAATCAGTTTTCATATATAAAAATATGATAATTTATGATTTATCATAAAAAGGGTATTTAATAAATCAAAAGAAAGGGTACCCTAAAAATAGAGATGAGGGTATTTTCCTGTTTCTTTTGCTGTTTGTTTACAAACATGCCAACTTTTGAGACCATGTGACTGATAGAAAATTCCAACATGTAACAAATCTACCTGCATGGAATCAGAAAACTTTCTGCTTTACCCGCTAAACCACCTTTGTCTTCTGCAAGTGAAACAGATATTCATTGCCTGCTATATCATAATCTCACACTTTACAGACTAGTAGAGTATACATTTTACTTTTTCTTTTTAGTATCAGTTTAGAAAAAACATTTATTTGTTGTGCATATTAAAACAATGTCACTTTTTCCCCTAATAAAGGAATCCTCTTGTTTTCAATTTCTACAATATATTATCAAAGACTTGCTACCTGTTTGGGTATGTATTTTATAAGGTACAATGCTATATTTAAATCATTTAGTCTTATATGAACCACATGATTTTATCTTGTTATAATTATACCTATATATGCTTCTATTACGTTTGTTTTGTTCCTGAATTCATATTTCTTCTAATCATCACACTGAATTTTATTGCACGAGGAAATAAGTTATTTGGGATGTGTTTCACCTATATTTCTATGTATAAAAAAAGATGAAGGTTATATTTTTATGTAAAAAAAAAGTAAAGGATTTGATCAACTGTATTAAATATTAACTTTTTAAAAACCAATCATCGATTTGTGTTTTGTTTTGCTTATTGCTTCCAAACCACAGGTGATCATTTATAATTGTTCTCTTAGTTTAGAATGTTGGGAATAGAAGAGAGGAAATGGAACAGAAACCTATGTGGTTTATAAAAGATTTCATATCAGTTCCAATGGTAAAGTGCAGTCACTATTAGAACATAAAGTTATTCAAAAAGAGGTCCCACTTGACATTATTTAAGTCTTTTACTTCTACCCCCTCATCCCCAAAATAAGATCCACTGTGTGTGTGTGTGTGTGTGTGTGTATGTGTATGTTGTGTACATGTGTGTGAAAGAGAGGGAGAAAGAATAAATATGATCCATACTACAGTGCTACTTTTTTCCCTGGATGCAATATGATTTTCATGAGGGAATATACTTGCTTAGTTTCTATGATGATAGACATGATACCTTAGACCTGGTTGTCGGAATACTCACTTGGGAGAAAGGTGTTAGAGAAAAAAAACCCCACATTTTTCAATAAAAATGTAAGCTCAACTTAAAAGAAAATGATGAAGCATGCTTTCCTTGTGACACTACCTATAACTTAATCCCTCTAAAATTTTTAAGCAAAATATCGCCTAAAATTGGTGAATAATAATGGTAAGTTTCTCAGTATTCTATCAGAAAAACTGAAACAATGTTTGAATAATTACAGTGTTGGGTTCCATTTCAATAGTTTCTTTTGAGAACTAAAGCAAATTAGCTCAAGAATCAGTATTTCTACACTCTCGATCTTTTGGCTTTAAGTGGCTTTTGAAGGGTGTATCCCCAGATGAGAAACTTCTAACACTCCTGCAGAGATGACCTGCTTGAAGAACTGGCTGCCTGATTAACTATTAACTGCTCTCAATAGGATTAGATAATTAAGGACATTGATGACCATTAATTAGGAGGAGGGCACATTAATTTGTCACTGGATAGGGCCCTTACAATGATTTATAGGTTAGTGCTACTTGCAAATGTGAAGGGAAAGAGAAAAAGAGAGAGAACCATGAAGTTACCTTATCAAGTGGCCAGCTAAAGAGGGCAGAGGGTCAAAAAAGGGCCAAAGTGGTCACTTAAGGGTGAAGTCCCAAACACCAAAGCAGTGCCAAGCCACATTGACCATCATTTGGTGATGAAGTTAAAAATATGCTAATTTATTGGTGGCAATTCTCTCTTTTTATGGTTTCAAGCAGTTAAGACAAGTGGCCTGCTTAAGAGCTTTTCATTTGAAAAGAGATTAAACAAAATGGTTTGTCAAGGCTGTTTGGCTGTTTTATGTCTTTGTTAAAAAAAATTGCACCGACTATACTGATAACTATCACATCACCCAAAAGCCATCTCTCCCTGAGCATTTATTTCCTTAATAAATACATCAACTCTAATTGCTTAATAGTGGTATGTTCATTTGCTCTTTAGCAAGATTAAGTTGAAATAAATCTTTTGTACTACTACTTTCTGTCACTACTGCTTGCACAAAGGTCACAAAAAAAGTTTAAGTTTTGTAGAAAATTTACTTAAAGACATTGGTGTAAATTATACTTTGTTTTGTTCAGCATGGAAAGCGGAAAGGTGATTTCACTAATAGTAAAGAAAACTGCTTTTAGAATGTAGATAAGGATCCTCTTTTCTTAGCCATACACAATTGTGGGTAGCATTCACATTCCACACACAAATAAGCACAGCTCATTAACATTTAATTAAATATGCTTTTGAAAGCCTTGGAAATACGCATGTCATACTTATCATGTAAGTTTGACGCTTTACTTTGAATAGATGTGTAAAACAAAATCATTTTTGCTATACTCTAATGATATGTCATTAAAAGAGGAAAAAATAAGATAGTTGAAGAACATTATTTCATGATACCAAAAGAACTTAAGAATATCAGCAGGAAACATTTTCTAAGAACTGCATTAGTGTAAAAAAACATATATATACATATACACATAGACTATTTAACCTCAAGACCGTCAACTAAAATACAAAAATTCTCTCTTACCTCAATGGTGAATAGCTTCCTTTTTAATTTAAAAGCTAAGTCTTTGACATCGGATACATCATAAATCAAGTTATTAAGCCGAGGAATCTGTCGAATATGAATCAAACCTTGTGAAAAGGAAATTAAAAGAAAAAAATTAAAAACACTGTCTTGGATGCATAAATTAAGAGTCTCACAGCAGAATCCGGTAAATTTACACACAAGCATCCTCCCCTTTTAAAACTGGAGCTTACTACCAGGAGCAATGAAGCAAATGGTGTGATTATACTCAAGTAATCAAGCAGAATAAGATAAACAGAAATCCTTGTGCGAGGAAAACTAATTGCACTTTGGTACAGAAGTACAGATGTAAAGAGGGATCTTAATACTTGTCAAAACTACAGCCGGTTTGTGTGTGATTTTCTCTTGTATTTACAGTAAGCAAATATGGCTATCACCTTGCATGCTGCCCACGGCACCACTGAGTGATCTTTATTTTATTAAATGCACCAGTAAGCAGCCAGCAAAACAAGGCTTATGGGTTACTGATAACCAGTGAAGCACTAATGAAAAGTATTTCATTTTGTACCTTATTAATGACTTGAGCAAACCACTGAAGAAAACTACATTTCAGAGCACACTCTAGGATCAAACATTAACCCCTATGCCATCCCAAGACACTCATTTCTGTGGCATGTTAGACCTTTATGTAGCTGTTATAAGCTTTGTAACAGTGCTAGGTAAACCGCGAGCTTTGGCCTCTTGTCAGTAGAAACACTTGCTAATTTTTTCTGACAAGGGCAGTGGATGGCTTTTGTGCAGCTTAATGCAGTTTCTGACTAAACTCGGGGTCATCTGCCACAGATGAAGACATGGAAGATCCTTCGGTGTATCTCCCTGCCTGACTCAGCCCATATTTAAAAATCATTACCCCAAAGACATTGATCTCTAAACATGGGAGAAGAAAGCAAATCCAAATCTGAACAAATGAGATGCATCTTATTTAAATAACTCCTTCTCTAATAAATAGTTTGGTGTGTGTTTGAATGCTTAATGTATGTATTTGTTTTAGCTTAAAAGGGTAAACCTCTAGGTGCTTAACTTTTGAAATGGTCCCTTCAAAAATAATTCACTGAAACATTTGATTTAATTTATTTAACTTAAAAAATGCAAACTATGTTAAGAAGACAGCTTTTAGATACAGATTAAAAATATCTTTTTAAAAAGATATTTAATTAATTTCTTTGACAGAGAGAAAGAGAGAGCACAAGCAAGGCAAGTGGCAGACAGAAGTAGAGGGAGAAGCAGACCCCCCTTGGAGTAGGTAGCCCAATGCAGGGCTCCGATCCCAGGACCTTAGGATCATGACCTGAGCCAAAGGCAGTGCTTAACTGACTGAGCCACCCAGGCGCCCCCACAGGTTAAAAATATTTTAAACAGAGTTACTTGGTAAAATACATTAGAAATGAGCGCATTAGACTTCCATTTGTACATTACTCATGTTAACTTGGTATATATACACTTGCTTAGCTGCTAAGTCAGGAGGCCTTTATACAATGAACGAATATGGTTTATCAGGTCCCTCTTATTAACAGAAATGTTACTAGTTGCCAAAATCACTCAATCTGTTGGTAATAATTTATTGATCTAGAGATTTCAGCACAAAATATCATAGCCTTTCACCCCTGAAATGTTTTAATCAAAATAACTGTCTTAGAATGTAAAATATAATTTATTAAATTTATTAGGTCACAATACTTACACATGATACTCAGATATAATTTATTAAGGTAATGTTTAACTTGAGTTGTTTAAAAAATAATAATAATAAATAAAAAATAGTTTATCCAGTTATGAGACAAGTAAGTCCTAGGGTTGTAATGTACAGCCCGGTGACTATGCTTAACAATAATGTATTGTGTATTTGAAAGTAGCTAAGAGAAATCTTAAAAGTTCTCATCACTAGAAAAGAAAATATTGTAAACCATGGTGATATATGTCAACAAAAGTTAACTGTGGTAATCTTTTCACAATACATACATCTATCACATTATTACTTTGTATACCTTAAACTAATACAATGTTGTATATCATTATAGCTCAATAACAAATTAAAAAAAAGAAATAGTTTAATCTTAATAGTCCTCTTCCTATAATATTGACTATAAAAGATTAAATAATTATACATAGGGTTAATCTGGACATATACAGTTATGCAAGTTAATATCATGAAGCAAATGATTTTATGTAGCTTTTGTTCATAGCTTATATTTTCTAGCCTTTAAAAAATATTTGATTGTTACATTGTGCTGTTTCACTGTTTTTTAAAATTTGTATGCCGGGGCACCTGGGTAGCTCAATGGTTGAGCATTTGCCTTCGGCTCAGGTCCAGATCCCAGGGTCCTGGGATCGAGTCCCATATCAGGCTCCTGCAGGGAGCCTGCTTTTCTTTCTGCCTATGTCTTTGCCTCTCTCTGTGTCTCTAATGAATAAATAAATAAAATCTTTTTTAAAAAAGAATATTTTATGCTGACTCTTCAAAGTACTGGTGGTTATCATATAAAGTATCTTATAATTTTTTTTTGTAGACTGTAAAAATTGTCATAGTCCTGCAATCACAGTCTTAAATAATCTTCTAGCAGGCTTCAAATAAACTACTCAGTATTTAGAGGTTTCCATGGAAATACAGTAGGCCCACAATAATAACAGCAATAATTGATATTTACTCGGTATAAGTAAATAGGTAAAAATCATATTGCCTATTTAATTTAGAACTAAGATGTACAAAACTATTAAACCTTTCCTATTTCAATGGTTCTATGTAAGAGCCTTTATTTCAAAAAAAATCATTAAATTAACCAAATGACAAAAATATTACTAAAAACTTAAAAAAACCCAATTAGAATCCTGATTAATTGACCTGTATTTATACTAGGATGACAATATTATAAAATTTGCTCATAACTCAACAAAATGAGCAAAGTCCAAATATAATCAAAGACGTTCACTTTCTGAAAACATGATTGACTAGGACTTTTAAAATCTAATAAGTATGAATTTTATTTTTCACATAGGTAGGCTTTGTAAAGCATAAACCACTATTCAAAGCTGTTATTATTAGAATTAATATATTTATTTCAAATATGGCTAATAAGTTTCATGACTTCAAGTTCCTTGGACAATAAAATTTTTATCTGACTGAGCCATGCCTTAGTACGTGGGTTTTACTCCTTTCAAGTAGCTACCATAGTCCATAGTCTTAATGTAGCTTGGTGATAAGTTGCCATGAAAGAATGGTCGGGGGCGGGGAGCACCTGGGTGGCTCAGCCGGTTAAGAGTCTGCCTTTGGCTCAGGTAATGATCCCAGGATCCTGGGATGGAGCCCTTATATGGGGCTCCCTGCTCAGCGGGGAGCCTGCTTGGCCCTCTCTCTCTGCCTGCTGCTCTCCCTGCTTGTGTTCTCTGTCAAATAAAGAAATAAAAAATTAAAAAAAAAAAAAAAAGAAGAAAGAATGGTTAGGAATGGAAAACATTTAACAGATAAATTATAAAATTCATGCTACTTGACAGTAGATATTATGACTAGACATAAGGCTTCCAGGTACCCTAGAGGCAACCTAGGATATTCTCTTCTCTTTATAAAGGTGCTGCTTACCATGATAATCCTTATATAATGGGTTGGTTTCTCTTTCAGAACCAATAAATGATTCCAGACCAACAACTGTATCTGACAAGTTTGTAACACGAGCAATAATTGCTTTATTCTGTAAAACAAGAAAACAAAACACTCATTTTATGTTTAAAAATATAACACATATTCAGTGCCATTATGCCATCTCAATGACAAATTGTAGAGGAGACAAATTATCAATACAGAAAAATAACTCAAAGCTATCACACGCTGAAAACTGGATGAAAATATGTACTTAATTGAAAATTCCAGCCCATGTATGTATGCTATTCTAATTAGAAGAGCTAAGGGGATATACCTTATTTTCTGTAGAGAACATAAATTGATTATTTTTCATTGCATTAAGAGGCAAGGCTACCTTTATCCTCACATACTATTCTTTTTCAAATTACTTTACTCACTGAAAAATCTGATAGACATCAGGATTCAGAAACAGTAGATAGTACAGTATAATGTGTAAGGCAAGGTCCCACTATCATCTGTCAACTGGGACCAGGTCCCAGCCCTGTAACAGCTGAGGTCCTCTGTATCGTTTTAGAAACACGGAAGGGTTCAGCTAAGAGGCTGCAGCATGGCTAGCTCTGGAGTCTTCTGTTCTCTCCTTCCAGATGCTGCTATTTGGCTCTGGGATAACAATAAAGGCAAAGAAAAGATGGTAGATGCCTAGCACTAGACTGGTAGACTACCTTCTTCCCAACACAACCTGACAAGAACCAAAAACATTGCTAAATAATACACTATATAAAAAAAGTAATATTTTAAGTAGCAAAAGTCCTAAAATACCCAGAATTTCATGGGTATAAAAGATCACTAAAAATATAATCATTAAGGACCCTATAGTTCTCTTGCATTATTTTATTTAATGGAAATTCAGCATTTCTTTTAGCCTGTGACAGCAAATATTTCATATGTTAAAGCATCTTAGAAATATATTTGCTCTGAAGTTTTGGATAAGGTGAGAAAATTGCTCTTTGTAAGATTTTATAATTTTGAAACTCCCATTTTATATACTGGTAATGTCTACCAGTTTAAAAAGAATCTTTAGAAAAGAATGGGAAGTGTAAAACAGTCAAGAAAATTTTAGTTTGATCCTATGTTCCAATAGGGGAAAGTCCAAACACAATGAAACACATTCACTTTCTGAAAACATGATTGACTACCGAGCTTACTGTTATTTATCTGTTTAAGTCCTCTAGTAAAGATTGCATAAGAATGAAAAATAAAATTGGTCAATGTCACCTGACTCGGTCTGAAATACATAGTAGCTTCTGTCACTAAACATTATGCTGAAATGACTGACTAACTCATACCTAGGGCAGTATTTGAAACTCCTCTGTAAGTAGAAATGTGTGTTGTATGAAGAATGTTTCAGCCTTTGAATCAGTACTCTTAAAAGGAACCAGTAAAAATAATCATCCTTAATTGGCTTTAATACTCTCAATCACGTGGGTACCAAGTATAGAAAAACAAACATAATTTGAAAATGCCTATTTTTTCTAAGGCAATTTTTCATTCAATGGTGGGAAAATAATACAGATTGATTCCTTACTTTCAGTTCTATGCCACAGGGGATGGTCCTACTCCAGGAATAACAGGGGCTTCAGAGGCCATAAACAAGTTCCTCTCAATATTTCTTTAGCCAAAGACTATTATATCAAACTCATCCAGGTTGGGTTTCAGCCAGTTATTCTTCACCCAAACAAAAATGTCTGCCAGACATTCCAACAGCTGGGAGACAGTTCACAATGAGTCAACTTGAAAATGATTCATTGTGCTGAGTACTGAACAATGTTGGGGTGGGGGTGGGGTGTGGCTGGGTTGGTTGTAGAGGGTGAGAACAAGTGGGAGATGAAGAATAACCATGTGGTTCTCCCATTAAGAAGAATCTTAGATAACAACCAGCAGGCTCTTATCATTTCATTTTTAGGATAAACTCAACTGGGAAGAGTACTCCTGTCATGGACCCTCAGATGAACAAGCACTTATAAAGGCTACTGACAGTATTTCTTAATCAAAAGGTCAGATTTCCTTTTATCTATAAATACAAGACTAAACCTTTGTATCTAAATATCTAAATCTAAAATGATAAAAGTCAATTTTTGTTAGAACTCAACTATTTAGATATTCAGTGATATAAACTAGAGTTTTCTCAATTATTTTAATAATAGAAATTGTTACATTTAAGGATAGAATTAGTCTTCCATTCTAGTAGTATATAAGGAAAGTCTTATATATTTAAATGGACAACCTGACATTTATTTTAAAGAGGGTTTCTTTCTTTAACCTTAAAATTTACTAATAAACCATTTAACACCCTGTAATATTTGTCAAAATTATAAGTCTTTTTAAGGTAATTTATGGGAGATTTTAAAAAAATCAACCCTCCACTTTGCAGAGGAAAACTAATGAATTCCAAAGTAAAAGATGTATATAGCCAGGATTTAAAACTCTCAGAAACTCATTCATAAATTTAATTTATTTTGTTTCTAAGCTCCATGGATTTACACTACAGTTATTAACTGCAAATTAAATTCTATTTTAAAAGCTTTCATGAAGTATTAGAGCAAGAAAAGTTTTAATCATTACCACAAAATAAGTTATATTCAACAATGACCTTATTGCTTTCTGCACAGCAGTTTTGGAAAATAGTTTATATAATGTGGCAAACTAGACGGTAGAAGTTGTACAGATATCAAAAAAAGTCTATAGAATAAAAATTACTAGAAATTATATAAGAATAACATCAAAGTTTCTGTCTGAGATTATCTTAATTATAAACTCATTCAGTTTTCCAGTGATGTATAAAAGCTTTTATGATATTTGGGGATGTAAATGTAAATATTTTTTAAAAAGCCAAAATAGTGTTACAGATTATTTCTGTACCTCCAAGATTCATAGGCAGTATGGTATATTGATGTAATCATATCTTAAAACCACTCTTGTCAAAAGGTCTTTCGTAATGCTAATACTAAGTGGTCTTTTAGATAAAGGTAGGCAAATTTACTTAAAAGAATCTAATATTAATAGCTTTAAAAATCCTCAAAAGCATAATAATCACAATTCACTTTAGGGAGAATACACTATGGACAATAAATTGTCATAATTCACAGTGTTCAGAAAGCTTTAGCATAATGATCTGAGCAGAGGCCTTGAAATTGGAACTTCCACATTCTCATCTTAACAGATTCTAAATGTTTTTATGTTATTAGCCAAGATGTAAAACCTCTTTGGTCTGCAGTATATGTAACTGGAAATGGAGTAGTCAAGGTATTTGTGCATCAATTACTTGGACATAAAGTTTGAGTGATTTTTGTGTTAACTTTGAAGTTGTTACATTATAGTTTCTAATAAGGAACATTTGAGTAAGGACATTCAGGATTCACTAGTAGGAGTAAATTAATGGTTATATTTATGCATGGCACAATGACATCACCCAAGTATGTACAATGATACTGCTACCCCTCCTCCTTGCCCATCTGGATGTGAAAATCTAGGATGGCTCAAAAATCCTCCCTATACTAGACAAATCTCCCTTCACTCCTGGGTGAAAGTTGTCAGCTCTGGACAGTCGCCAAGACATGACTAGGAGGGAAGCCAGAAGAGAAGAGAGCCAGTGTCCAGGAGTTTTAAGAGTTTGCTGGCAGTCTCAAATAGCATTGTATTAAGTTACATAAAAGGTTCTTAAAACTTTCTGTTGCAGTGCAATTTCTTAATTATTTAAATTTAAATCATGTCAAATGCTGTTGCAAATAAAAACGGCAAATCAGATTGCCCAGTTGATCACCTTTTTACTCCAATTTTAATTTCACAAAATATTTCAGAGTTTTTGTTTTGATTGTTTTTTGTTTGGTTTCATAGGATGTTTCCTGTTTTCTTTTATGGAATGGTAACCTCTTTATTAGGATACACCAAATCCATTAAATGGATTTTAAATAAAGGAAGATTAATTTAATGCTCCCTTGCAATTCAAAGCTAATTAAACCAAAACTATGAACCTTAAGAGATAAAATTCAACTACTGCCATATAAACTCCCTCCATTTTCTAATAAAAATAGTTGAGATACCTATTTAGAGTAACCAAGTAACAATCAGAATACCTCAAACCCTGAATGTTTTCTTACTTTCTTTGACCCAATTATCTCAACAATATAAAAAGACACAGTTTGTACCAATACAAAGTATACTCCCAGGAAAGACTTTTAACAAGAGATTTAAAAAGTAATTAGGCAATCATTTAATTATTAAGAAGCTTGAAAAGAATAAATCAGTTGACATAAAGCATTTTATGCGATGCCTTAAATAAGCTCTTGAGTTATTCAAATAAGAAAGGCAGCAAATATACATTTGCTATGTATTTGAGTATACGGCACACACATCAGATTTGGGACTTGAATACTGCAAAAGCACTATTAAGTTAATATTGAAAAGTTAAAGAAATATTTAAGTTATTTTATGTTTGAAGCTACTATGTAACATGGGGTGTGTGGGGGGAGGCAGGGGGGAGAATCCCAAGAAAAGCAAGTATACTACTTAACACCTCACGTTATAATAACATTTTTCTGAGAAATGATATGCATAGAAACACAAACATATTAGAATTTCTGGCATTTCTTTGTCATCTAATCAAAGTATGGAATAAAAGGATAAATCTAGGGATGTTTAATGAGGTATTTGTTTTTCTATGCTTATTAAGTTCCACATACTATAGGATTGAGACTATGAAATAATAAAATTGTTTATACTGGAACTTTTTACAAACATTCTTTCATCTTCCCTAGAGCTGTCACTTACTTCTGTAGATTAAATTTTTATTTTATGAAAAAATATTTTATAGTGGGAAAAATAATTCTGTTCATAATTATTTTGAGTTTAAGAATACAGTTTTATCAAATAAAGTTATGCTAGTATTTGTAATCATAATATCTTAATGAAGGTATTAGATTAAATCTTTCCAGATTTAATACCAAACTTCTATTCAAGTTCACACAGTTAATTTTAAATTACAGAGGAACTTGTGTAAATTTTAAAAACTGTAGTTATAACACTCTATTGGTAGCATCATATACTGATATT